CATCTGCATTCCATGATAGGACAATTGAAGCTTGTGACATTGGTAATTGACAACGAGAGAAACACAGGAAGATATTGATTATGTTAATAATGACTTAATTTGCATAATTAATTAAAAAAAATTATAATTATGTAATGATAACTGCCTGGAATTTCATACTTGTGGTATTTGAAAGTTAAATTGAGGTGAACATCATTAAACATAATTTATTCAAATCAGGACCTCATTTGCATAATTTATTAGGAAATGCTAGAATGCATTGTTTGTTAATATAAGACTGTCTTTTGGTTGAGATTATGATAAAATGATATAATTCATGAAAATTAGGTTCCTATTTCTTAAATCAGGGGGGAATAATCTAATCTATAATTTGTCAGTCATAAAGATTAACATCATTTGGCGAAGGTATGAGATCGGGGAACTCTAGTTGTTCATATGTCTTTCAGATAGTTGTCCAAACACATTCATGTACAGTAGATTATGTGCATTATGTGGAAAATTAGTCTCGAGCTGCGAGGAAGGTCAGTAGTTCATGAGAAAGGTTGAGGTCTGATTCCACAGTATCTTGCCAACTTATAAAGAATCCATAATTATTGAAGCAAGATGTGTAGATGAAAATTATGCATATTACAGAAAGTTATTAGTTCTCAGTAGGTTTCATGAATTCTTTTATTGTATATCTCATATCTCATTTATCTTACTGTCATAATATAATGGGTACTTTGGCTAAGTGATGGGCCAACTAATGTACATATAAAGTTGATTTTATTGTTTCAAAGGTTTTAATACAGTAATGTGTGAAGACCTCTGTGAGGTTGTGTTGGATAAGTCTGTATGAAATATGCAATTCAGCCATACTTGGCTGCAATGTATTTTAAAAGCAAAGCTATGGTATTTGACTGTCTGAACCTGTGTGATGTTACTCCCCAGCCACCACAGACAGTGACAGTGAATACAACAGTTCTCTGGAGAGGGAGAGAAGAGACATCTACAACAAGATGAACAGGAGACCCACCCCCAAGAAGACGGGAAAACGGCGAGTACCGGACAACGAGGGCTCCCCTCCGCCGAGCAGAGGACCTTACGCTACCACCGACATCATCAGAAACAGGCCAACTGGTGAGTTCAACTCAACTTTTGTTTTGATGGTTGTATATATAGTAGATGTTTTGTAGAACAATACATGTGAAGAACAATTATTCTGTGCATGATGTACAAAATGACTAATACATGTATTAATAAACTGGTGGACGTACCAACTACTAACTGTAAGTACCTAACACCAGCTCAGGAAAGAAAAAGAAATAGTCATGCCTTCAAGTACCAGAGTTATCAACCATGTGACTACTCTAGTCTAAGTTTTGTCACTAAATTTGGACTTATTGGGTTTGACTACTTTTTCTGAGACAGTAGAAGATGAATGATACCACTTTTTCTGTATTGTGTTGGTTTTGTGATATTAAGAGGAGAGTGGTTTTCTTTTTGTCTACGTGGAGAAATTGGCATGTAACGTATTCGCCTCTTCAAAAACGTCCTTCCTTTCATGATCACAAATAAGATGTGTTTCATGTTCCTTCCTCCAGGAACAGGGAATTCGCCATCAGACGACAGTGCGGGTACTGGTGACGAGTTCCCAAAGAACGCTGGGCTGAAAAAGAAAAAGTCCTTCAGAAAAGGGACGACCAAGCGAAGAGACGCCACGTCCCCTCAGACATCTGACACTGACGCCATCTCACCAAGACCAGGTAGAGTCCCAGGATGAAGTCATCAAAAAAATCAATCATGATTGGCTGTTGTTTGTTGAACAGCTTGTGTTTTGGCCAATCAGAAACTTCCCTATGATCATTGGCTGTTGTTTGCTGAGCAGCTTGTTTTTTTGACCAATCAGAAAGTTTCCTATGATCATTGGCTGTTGTTTGCTGATCAGCTTGTTTTTTTGACCAATCAGAAAGTTTCCTATGATCATTGGCTGTTGTTTGCTGAGTAGCTTGTTTTTTTGACCAATCAGAAAGTTTCCTATGATCATTGGCTGTTGTTTGCTGATCAGCTTTTTTTTTTTTTCGCCAATCAGAAAGTTTCCTGTCATTGATGTGATTGGCTGATGCCTTCAACGTTTTAGGAAAAAAAACGTTGAAGGCTTATTTGATTTGATTCAAATTTGAAATCAAGCTTTAGCAAATTTTCAAAATTTAACTTAAATTTCTACAATTTTTTTTTTGGTAGTAGCAGATAAAAAGATGATAATTAGGATCACAGCTCTGTTTTCTAATCCTCTTAATGTTTTGTTGGACTAAGCCCCAATAGATCTAGCACCTAACAACTACTAGTTAGAGTTTTGTGTCTGACATATTAATTAGATTAGCTCTAGTTACTAATAATTTCCTTTGATAACTGTGTGTAGATGTACACCAGTCTGAAATAAAGGTAGTTTTGATCTTGTTGTAGTTGTCCTTTGATTTGGAGTGAAAGTTTGCAGTGTGTATAATCCCTCTCTTCACTTTCTCTTTCTTCACTTCTCACATGTGTGCATGAATTTGTCTGTGACTGTGAGTTTGTAGTGTGTTGTCCTCTCTCCAATGAGTGTTGATGATACTTTGTGCTCATCCAATAACATCCTCTCTTACATACTGAACAACCAAGGCCACATAGGCCTTGGCTGGACATAGGCAGATACATACAGTTGTTCAGCCAAGGCCACACATGCCATTTGTAACCCTGCATGATGAGTGATGATTGTCCAAGTCTACATTACATACCGTACACATGTTAATAACAAACAGTTACATACTGCATAGAAAATTCATCCCAATGTACGCTTTTAAATTTATTCAAATATATCGTTTAAATTTATTTTTCTATGCCTTTTTTATATGTATTCCCGTACAGCGTTTACCTTGCAGTTGTACCTTGTAAAAAAAAACACTAATACTTTACTTGCTAATCCAAAAGTACAAAGAAAGCATTTTATTGTAGGTATACCCAATACTGTCAGAAGAAGTCAATGTTGATATTTTTTAAATGCAAACTTAGAATACAAGGTGTTAATTTGCTTCAGATACTTGTAACCAACCTAATTACATAGTATGAAATGTTTATTTTGACAAGAAGTTTTCCATGAGTACATATATATTATTATATATATTTGAACATTTCTTATTTCAGCGGGAAGGTTTGCTCCTGACTCTGCCTACCAGTCAGACGGTGATGACGAAGAGGTAAGGATTTTCTCTTATTTCTCTCCTTTTAATTCTTTCAAAATGAAATGAAGAACAAGCACAGTACAGAAATCAAAGTGGTTGAACTTATTGTAATTTAGCCCATCTAGATGTAAGGTTGCTGAGATTTGGAAGTAGTCCAGAATGAAACTAGAATTTCGGAATTAAACTGGAGGCTGTTGTGTCTAAAGCTTGGTTGTTTTTCTCTTTTTTGCTTTTTAAAAACAGTATTCCGCTTATTCTCTTGCCCTCTCTCATATCTGCAGAGAAAGAAGCGCAGCAAAGAGCAGGAAAAGCTGGAACGACAGCAGAAAAAAGATGTCAAGAGAAAACAAAAGGAAGAGGTTTGTTACAGTCTGTTTTTTCCCTCTGCGCTTTATTTTTCTGTACAAAGATGAGCAAAATACCAACTGGTAACATGAACTGTGCTTATAGATGTTTGTGGATTTTTGTCTGCTCTGTTTTCTGCTATAACATGCAATTGCAGTGGTTTCTAAACTGTTTTCAGCATGATCCCACAGTCTAAATGGTGTTCAGCTTGGTAAAATTCTTTGGTGCAGGTGATTTTTAATATTATCCACACCAATGTGGTAATGAAGAAAAGTACATTTTGAGCCTTGACGCTCAATTTATACAGGTGGAATGATTCCTTTGTTGTTACTTGATTTGATTTGACAATTTTTAGGATTGCAACAATACAAAATAAGTTCAGCAAAGTAGCTGGTATCTTGCATCACACACATCACAGAGCACATCACACATTCTTCCTGCAGACTTTGAAGCATTTTTATAAATGTCTTCTTTTCCACAGGAGAAGCTGAAGAAAAAGATGGAGAAGCAAAAGTCCAAGACGAAACCATTCCCCCTGCCTCAGCAGAAGAACCTGAGCGGGAACTATTTTGGTCTGCCTATGGAGAAGATAGTCCAGTCTGAGGACAACCCCATCCCTCTGTTTGTGGAGATGTGTGTCAAGTACATTGAAAATGAAGGTGAGATACTCTTCTTAGGGTAGATTGAGCTGGTAAGCATGTCGGCAGAACGTACTGCACCTATGCGAAACCCGTAATATATTGTGCATAGCACTTCGGCAGAACGTCTCGTATAAGGTTGTATTCACGCATATAAGGTTAACACTCCGTCTGTAGTTTCCAAATGTGATGTTGGAATAAATGTTGTCTGCAACAGGCAAAATCCTGATGCAATGTTGACCTACTTGTCATAAAGAGCTACAAGACTATATCACTGTGTGAACACTGTTACAGTAGTACTCTCTATTGCAGGAAGATTTAGATTCTTGTGACAGAGTATAACAAAACGACTATTATAGGTAGAATGCTGATGAACCATTGTCTTCCAGGTATCAGAACGGAGGGCATCTTCCGTGTGAATGGAAAAAAAGAGGACACAGACCTGATTCGTCTGAAATTTGATGAAGGTAAGTGTGACATCGTTTTTTGTGACTGATTCTTTTGGAATGTGCTTCCTCATAGTGAACTGAAGTTTTGACTGGAAGTGAATTTCACAGCAAGTTAAGTGTTATATTGAGGATTTGTTTATTTGTTTCACATACATAACATACCAGTCTTGTACAGTAAGTACAATCTGCATAAGAACGTACTATTGATTCATACCAGGATGGACCCCTACTCTTTTAGGCCAATGCAAAGTAGAAAACAGTGGATTTGGCATACAGGTAGTGCTTTCAAGCACTTTTAATATGAATCTGTGTCTCCTAGTGAAAGTATGTCAAGTATAAGTATGTCTGTTAACGTTACTTTTATTTGACTTTTCCAGAGGAGATTACAGACTTGAACGACCTTCAGGTTGCCGATGGTGACCACAAGGTCAGTGTGAACGCGGCGGCGGGAGCGCTCAAGTCGTTCTTCGTGGAACTTCCCGACCCTCTCATCCCTCACAGTGTGCACGACGATCTGATCGTAGCGATAAGTAAGTTTGCCTTTTGTTATGTTCGTTATAAGAATACTGTAAATCTTTTAATGTTCGTGGTAGTAAAAGTTCACAGTCTGAGAAAAATGGGCATGTTCACAGAACTATATGTTCATAGTGGCGGCAAGTGCAGAAAAAAGTCAGCAAATTATTTGTTCCCAGTAATAATAAGTTTGTGATAAAGAAGTGACCATGAAAACTGCAAATATAAAAGTACTGTACTTTGAAAAAAATCGTAATTTACAGTAGCTCGAAAGTTCATCTCTGTTGGTAAAATCATTCCGAAGCAGTTGAGCTGTGATTTCCACCACAAAAAATGCACTTGCCCAAATTTGTGACTGTCCAACTGCAGTCTTTGTCAAGAAATGAACTTTTTTTGTGTTGGAAATTACAGTTCAACTTTGCTGTAGACTCTAGAAATAGTTGATAATTGTAGTTTACGAAGTAATAAGATTTGTGAAATCAACATTCACGCTTTTTCCTGTGGTTTGTCTTTAGGCACCAAAGATGATCAGATCAAGGTAAGAAACCTGAAAGAAGTCTTGAGAAAGCTGTCACCCGTCACCCAAGCTGTCTTCAAGTACCTGCTGGAACACTTGTACAGGTAGGTAGATGACTTTGAACAATTACCTTGGACTCTTCACCTCTTAAAGTTGGTTATTACCTTTGCAAAGAGAAGGTTTTTTCAGAGCCGTTTCTGGGTGGATTTGTTCTAGTTTTTTCATGTTCCAGTTCTGATTTGTCGTTTCAAAATGAAATGCTGCGTTGTTGAGTTTTAACTGCTTTTATGTTACATGTTTATGCAATCGCTGTGAACTGTTTCCTCTGATCCCTCAGAGTAAGCGAGTTTTCTGCAGACAACAAGATGACGAGTGAGAACCTGGCCATCTGTTTCATGCCCACGCTGATGCGGCCGGACTTCAGCACCTTTGACATGGGCGCACAGAGCCAGAAGATCCTCCTCATGGATAACTTCATCCGACTCACTCCGCAAATTTACGAGGAAGCCGGGTCATAACCCCGCCTGATCGCGAGCGGTGCCGACGGCTCCTTTCCAGCGCGTAGAATTCCGGAGCAACGTGCGCGAACTGTGCACACGCCAGCGAGGGCTTTGCATATGGAGCAGGAGTGTTGTGGCTCGATTAGGTTGTATAGTTAAAATCCCACCAAGTCTTACTTTGCTAGGCAAGTGAAGCTGCACTTTTCACTCAATCAGAAAGAGGGCGCTTTATAAAAGCTGATCTTTTCTGAACCTTGAAACAACACACCATGATGCTACCCAGCAAACATTTCTCAAGCAGGAGTTGTGAAAATGTCTTTGAGAGAGAACGCTTTTTCCAGCATCTATACAATATGATGGTGCAGTTGCTATGAAAGAAATTTTATGATATCATATTCAAACGTGTTTTCACCATTGTACAGATTTACTCTAATAATGTATTAAGTAGTGCTCGAATGTAGGACATTACAGTGCACATAATCATACAAAGAGTTGCACTATTAACACTTTTGGAAGAGTTTTACGAATCATTTCCATTGGATAAATTTGGGAGGGGGTATCCGAAGGGTGACCCCCAAGTGTGCGCGCGATTGTGTGGTGAAACCTACTTGTTGTTAATATCATTAATAATTGCACAGTAATATGAATGGACGGCAAAAGCATATTAAATGCCCAACATTTCTGATAATTGTTTTGTACATATGATGTTTCAGAGTGTCCTTTTGCTGCTTGTCAGGGTGTACTGGGTTTGTAGAGGATGGTGCAGCTTTTTCGTTCAGTTGTAAACAATTGTCTCACTTTCTTTATGCATCAACACTAAAATCATTCTCACTCCCTCTTATGAAGTGGACATTGTTACAAAAATTAAGCTCCATTCCAACGTGACTCCTTTAGTGTGCTGCTCAGTAGGCTAACTTTATCAAGATGGTTTTTTATACAACTTGTGCAAAAACTTATTCTGTATTTCTCTTCAATGCCTTAAATTCGTTAAGTGTTCTCCACTGTGCTTTTTTCTCACCAGTTTTGTACAGCATTTTTTTTTTCTGTATGCGAAACATTTTGTTTGGGAATACATGTCTTGTTGTGTTAAATGCAATGCCATTGGTTTATTATGTACAAATGATAAATAAGGGTGTATTTGTAATGATGTGTAATTTGGGAAGCCATGACATGCTATTAAATATGGATCATACATTGCAACCGTCTTACTGTATAGGGTTGTTTGAAAGCTTACAGGTTTTGTTGTTTTTTGGTGTTTTAGATAGGGTCAATGATAGGCTATACCTCCCCATTTTGCCTACCTGTTTGTGTTCTTCTGTATGTTTTGTAGCATGTTTAGGCCAGTCCACTGATAGCACAGGGACATACAAGTACTACAGACCACACCATAAGAAGGCAAAAAAAAAATGCAAGTCTGCAGTTTTTTGGATGTTGTTAGATAAATGTGAGGAACTCTCTATGTACAGATTATACTGCTTTTAATAAACTGTACATTTTATACCATTGTAGTCTAACTCACTTAACAAGTTTTGTATACATTGTTGTGGATTCTGTCACTGGAGAAGGAATTTGTTTCTGTTTCTTGTTCCTTCAAGACTCTTTCAAGTAAGCAAACCATCAAACGTTTTGTCCAACAGAGCTGTATAGATTATGCAGTTTGTAACACAAAAAGGCATGTGGTGTACTTTTTCAAATCTGTCAATAGAATGTGGTGACCAATGGGAAGGCTTGATAGATTGACCAATGAATGGGCATGTTATGAAAGCAGCCTAGAATATCTTTGTGGCAGAAGTTGTGAATCTGTGATGCAATCTTTGAAAAGCATTTTTTTTCTCTGTACAAAATAATGCGAGTCTTTACAATGTTCAAATTATAGATGCAAAGAGTACTATTGTCTAAATCACTACAATGTTACTGAAGAAATACTACAATAGCACAACTGTAATAAGTATGTCAGAATACCATGTGTTTTCCCATTAACTATGCTTCACGATCTTCCATAGTAAAATTCCAGGTTTTCCACAGTTTTTGACTATCGTTTTGTAACTACGAGCACTTTAATCAATGATTCATGTTGGTGTACTTTTCAGTTACAGTCAGTAGCATTACCAAAAGATTGTATGGAAAATTGCTTATGACAATGTTTTATTTATGACATATAGTCAACTGCTAATTAAAAATACTGGTTTAACGAAAATACATGTCCATGGTACCATATTGTTGCTATGTGATAAGTTTTGAAGGGTGTACAGAAACAACACATTGTAATAGGAACTACGGCCTGCAACATTCTGTACTTGCTTGCCTCAGCCTGTAGAGTGAGATCTAACCATTTTTACTCCAGCGCTACTTCATTTTTATACCATAGTCTGCTAGAAGAAATAAAGGGCATGTACAGTATTTTGAATGGCAAATACAATGTTTGCATTTGTTTTATAATGTACTTAAGCAGTTGTCTGTAAAAACCAAGCATAAGGTGGTCAAACTAAAAAAAATCTTAAATTTGTGTAGTGGTAGAGACTTGGTCTAAACCTACAAAAATGAGAAAGTTTTGGTTCAGTGTTTATTGGTTGCCCCACAGGTCGCTGTTTTACAGGAATACTCTGATAAAAAAAGATTCTTGACAACAGTTTCTTTCTGCAGATCAACCACATACTTACTTGGAGCATCTTAAAGGTAACAAGCCGTTTATTTAGGGAAAGAAAACTGCACATATAAGCTGCAACTATTGTACACCTCTACCTAGTATACTGAGTATGTGTTGCAGTTCTGATTAATATTGCTAGGTGGCGCTGTGAGACCGTTAGATGACAACCTGTTGGCTTCACTGGAGGCTATTGAAGCTAATCGTGAAGGCATGGATTTGAGAAGGCATATTCTAATGAAAAGAGATTCGTGACTGCATTTTCTTTCTACAGATCAACCACAGACTTGCCGGGAATGTTGAAAGACGTTTATTTTATGAAGAAATAAGCCGAAAAATGCAGCATACGAGCAGCGAACACTGTACACTTTTACCTTGTACACTAAAGTACGCGTTACAATTCTGATTAATACCGCTGAGGTGGTGCTGAGACCGTTGAATCTAAAATCCAAGCTTTGAGAAGGAATGTGATGATAAATAAGGATTCTTAGGAGCAAGTTCTTGCTGAATATCAACCAAAGACTTGCTGGGGGTTTATTTGGGGGGAAAAAGCTGAAAAATGCTGCCTACGAGCGGCGAATACTGTATTCTTTAATATCTCTACCTTGTATATGAATATGATACTGAAGTACGTCTTGCAGTTTTGACTAATATTGCTAGGTGGCGCTGTGAGACCGTCGGATAACCGTGTGTTGGCTAAACTGTACATTGAACCTAAAACCAGGTTTTGTTGAAGTTTACTTTGATGGATTAATATTCTTAGCAGCTTTTTGTTTTTGCAGATCATCCAGTCCTACTGGGAGCGTTTTGGTCGTTACAACCCGCTTTTTTTTCCTTTAGTGTAGTTTTCCTTTTAAAGTAAAGTTAAATGTATGGGGAGGGGGATTATCTTTACTATCAAGACGTCTCAAACAGTTTTATGCAATATTTGGTGAAGGACACTTGTTTGCTTAGACCTTTCAATGAAAAAAAGAGTTTAAGGCCAGTTGAGATATGAAAGTTTTAAGGCGATATTTAAGGGGGCAATTTCTTAGAACCCTTAAGAGTCGAGATATGGGAGATACAAGGTGATGTTTACGGGGGAATTATTTGATTATAAGTTTTCTTCCAAGTGTCTCCATAAACTGGAGGTATAAAGCAATACTTGGATGGGAGGGGCAATTCTTTGCTAAGAACTTATCAGGGAAAGGAGTCTTAAGGTTAAGGCAATATTTGGGGTGGGGAAGTTTATTTTAGATTACAACATTTAAATCAAAGTTTCAAGGAACAGGCCTAAGGAAATATTTTCCATTAATTTTGGGAATTAAAAGCCGAGAAAGGCCGCATACGAGCGGTGCACTTCTACCTTACATACAAACAGTTCTTACATACTGAAGTACGAGCCTGAAATACGTGTTGCAATTCTGATTAATAACGGTAGGTGGCGCTGTGAGACCGTCGGATTACCGTGTTAAGGCAATGTTTATGGGTATGGGGTTATCTTTACCATCAGGAAGTCTCAGGTGTTTTCAGGCAATATTTGGCGAGGTACGCTTATTTTAGAGCTTTTTAAAGAAAAGTATTAAGGATTCAAGACTTTAACGCAATGTTTTGGGGCCTGCTAATCTGCTAAGAACGTTTTAACGAAGGGTTGCAAGGAACAGGGGTTCGAAGCCCATATAAGGGAGCTGGCTATTCTAGTTAGAACCATAGTCAAGATATGGAAGTATTAAGGCAATATTTAAAGAGGTTTATCACAGTTGAGTTATGAAAGTTTTAAGGCGATATTTAAGGGGGCAATTTCTTAGAACCCTTAAGAGTCGAGATATGGAAGATACAAGTTGATGTTTACGGGGGAATTATTTGATTATAACTTTTCTTAAGTGTCTCCATAAACTGGAGGTATAAGGCAATACTTGGATGGGAGGGGCAAATTTTTGCCAAGAACTTATCAGGGAAAGGGGTTAAGGCAATATTTGGGGTTGGGGGAGTTTTTTTTAATCAGATTAGAATCTTTAAATCAAGTAAAGTTTCAAGGAACAGGCCTAAGGAAATATTTGCCGTTAATTTTGGGAAGAAAAGGCCGAGAAATGCCGCATACGAGCGGCAAGCACTGTGCACTTCTACATTACATACTGAAGTATGAGCCTGGAAGTACGTGTTGCAATTCTGATTAATAACGGTAGGTGGCGCTGTGAGACCGTCGGATTACCGTGTTTTGGCTACTGTTTTAAGGCAATGTTTATGGGTAATAAGGGGTTATCTTTACCATGTGTTTACAGGCAATATTTGGTGGCGGAAGGACGCTTCTTTGCTTAGATGGGGAGGGGCAAATTTTTGCTAAGAACTTATCAGGAAAGGAGTCTTTAAGGTTAAGGCAATA